CGTGTCACAAATGAACTTTGATGGATGTCACATGAAACCAATGACAGAAATGAATGTTTATACTTCTGAATGCTCATTACCGAATGCCTCTTAACAGTCAGTTGCTGATGTGTTTTGGTTAAACCATGTGTGTGTGCGAGCAAATGCACCATTGAGTGCATGTTTTTATGACACATCTGTGATATACAATCCCAGCGGCAAACATACTCTATTTTATTTTAAAATGTATTCCAGCAGGACTTGAATCTAAGAATGTGCCTTAAAACTTTTAATGATGTAACCACAGTTAAAGTATTAATAAAGAAGTTAAAAGCCACGCTGACTGCTTCAATGCTTTTAATAAGACTCCGTGTCGTGATGTTTTACACTAAGTTTGAGAAGTTCCAAGTTCAAATCCTTCTCATGAGGTTTTTGCTCAAGAGCATTACAGCCTGAGGCGCTGAAATATCCTGTGTTTCATTCTGAAGGGCTCAAACCCTACGCCCTAATCCCTTCAAAGGATGAACGGTGTATGGCAGGGGTGTCTAAACTCGGTCCTGGACGGTCACTGTCCTGCAGTGTTTAGCCACCAATTGCCGCAACACACCTGCTTGGAAGTTTCTTAGAAGTATGCTTAGTAAGACCTGAATCCGAATCAGGACCGAAATTGCCCCCCTATACCATGAAATAGGGCATTATATGAGGGGACAGCTATTTGTAGTGGTGGACGTTATCGAGTGCACTCATTCAATCCCACATTGCACCACAATAACGAGTGTACAAACGATGTACACTCAACGGCTGTCCAAATTCGCTCACTCGTTTTCATTCACTCCTTGTGAACTGTATTAGTGGACAAACGTAGGGAATAGTGATTGAGGGTTTAGGGGGCGATTTTGGATTCAGCCCTTGATTAGCTGGTTCGGGTGAGTTTAATTGGGGTTGGAACTAAACTTTGCAGGACAGTGGCCCTCGAGGAACAGGATTGGACACCCCTGGTGTAGGGCAGAGGTCTTCAACCCTTCTACTGGGGACCCAATGTCCTGCAGAGTTTAGCTCCAACCCTAATCTAACACACCTGAACCAGCTAATCAAGGTCTTCAGGATCACTTGACAAATCACAGGCCAATGGTCTGTTGCATTAAACGACTTGAAGAAAAGTACGTTTCAGGTTGACAACACCAAACAAATCCAAACTGGGTTAATATGTTTTTTGACACTGGTTATCAACTTTCTCTCTCAACCCAGGATTAAACCCTGAATCAATGATTCATTATCATGCGCGTGCACATAAAAGCAACACCATTGCAGTGGCCAAAGCTCGGGAGAATTGCTGGCAGAAAATAACTGATTTTGTAAACCCGTACGTTTTTACGCAGTAATTTTTATAGGCTCACAACAAGGATAAAACCGATTGAAAACTCATGACGCTAGCATATTACATATAATTGAATATGAAATTTCATATAATAATAAAAATACAGTCCAGTAACCAGGGTCGACCCATCGTGGATGGCATCGAAGGAAGTGCATCTTCAGATCCAGGTGCTGGCTCCACCAAACAGGCTACATTTAAACGGTACGTATGTGTACATAAACGCTTGATCCTTTTTAAAACTTAACTCGAAAATGCAAGCAATAATGACTTAATGTGTTTTTCAGCTGGGGGGAGTTCAATTACCTTGTCGGAGCCAGCACACACACCTACAGAGTCTCATACAGAGGTTAAGCACAGAACATACCACGAGGACATGCTATTGCCGTTGTATTTATTGCATGGCCTTATTGGGTTAATAGGGGGGAGCTTGTGATGTTTGCTCAGAGACCGCTGCAGAGGTAAACGTGCTTTGTTAGAACATATTCTAATGAAGAAGAAAAGGTTTCTGATGTCTATTGTGTTATAGGATTTCTCACAACTGCATCCTCTACATGAACCCTCTTCATCACGGCTTCCAAGGCCAGAGAAAAAGGGTAGTGCAAGTTACAACTGCATGTATACAATAAAATTATAACCAGTCGGTTACTACTTTAGGTGGAAACGGACACCATCAGAGCCCTCTACAAAAGAAATCTGGTAAGATAAAACTACTAAGAAAAAAGAAGCAGCTGAAACTACAGCTTGAGGAGTTGGAATACCGGAAGATGGTATGTGAAGTCATGAAAATCAAAACACTGGGACTCACAAGTATTGCGTCTCTGAGTGCTCTGCCAGCTGGAAAGTCCATCGTAATGGGGTCAGTTTCATCAGGGGGGAGTTGGTGGCACTTGCTCTTTTCTTTTAGTGGCTATATTGTGCAGTATTGCACATGCAGACACTATCTGGGATGCTCTCAGTGGGGATGCTCTCAGGTAGGGGTGCGCCAAAATATCGATATGGCGATATATCACGATATTTACTCCCGCGATCGATTCTCGATGCGCTCTTGCCAAGTATCGATCTTAAAAGCCGTTATAAAACGCTCTATTCATTATCAGAGTTGACTGGATTTGACTAGCTTTCATGAGGCACACACGCAAAGTCTCTCGCTCTCTCCCGTGCTATGTATGTTATGCGCGCAGTAGGCTGTTCTGTCTCGCATGCGCGCTCTAGATTCCGGGAGATTTGAACTAATTTGCGGGCATCAGGGAGACGCTATCATTATGCGGGAGACTCCCTGAACTTCCGTGAGACTTGGGATGTCTGGCTTTGCAAAAGTCCGCAAAACGGGAAACACGACCACATGTACAGACACCTCACGCGGCATCACCCGGAGCTCTGTGAGAAAGCCGTGGTTGGTGCTGGCTCGAAGCCGACACACCCCGGCGTAAACATTTTAATTACTACTGATTGCAGCAATGTTACACTAAAATAGTGTCTGTGACTGTTTTGTTGCAACTGATAAGACACAAGTTGTTTTTGTTATTGTGTTTCATCCCAAAAAATAAATGGAGATTAATTTTCCTAATTAAATTTTTTTTTGTATTTTTTAAAACATGATATATTGTGAGTTATTACTGATAATATGTCGATTATCGCAGTATCGCCATATCGTGATATTATCGGTATCGTGAACAATGTATCGCATATCGTATCGTATCGTGAAGTACCCAGCGATTCCCAGCCCTACTCTCAGGCCACGCAGACAATTAAATCGAACGTTCAGAATGCCAAAGGTATTCTCGATTCTGACCCTGGTTTTGCTGTGGGACATGTTGGATTGCTGCTGCCTTGTGTCAGGGTCAGGGTCAGGGTCATTAAAAATCACTGACAAGGATAACCTCTGTCTCCAACCAACATGCCATCAAACATCCCTGTCAATAAGCATAACAGAAGTTATAGAAGTCTACAATATAGTTCCATTGTGAGTATGTGTTTTTTCCCCCTCTCTTCCCAAACCTTCCTCAAAGCGCTGACCTTACACAGTCATGTATAGTATAACTGGTGGTATGACCATAGGGAGAAATCATATAGGATTTGATAAGTGTAATCAGTTAAAGAGAAATGAGAAGGCATCTTGGACTGTACCTGAACATTGAGGGAGTGAGTGGGTTTTCTATTCACAAAATCAGCCTCATGCTCACCTAGGGCTGCAGAGATTGCAACATGTGTGCAAATCTATTGCACCATTGACCCTAGGAAATCCTTTTCAAAAACACTGGTTATGCAACTTTAAGATCTTTAACATAAGATTAATCTTAAGTAGGCTGCATTTGAAATGATCTTACCAGCTATTTTGTAAAAAGCCCTCTTTAATAGCCAGCGTCTTTAAGTAGTCAGGAAAAACTTGCTTACGGTTTCAGCATCACCCTCCACATGCAAATACACTGCCGTTCAAAAGTTTTGGATCGTTAAGATTTTTTATGTTTTTAAAAGAAGACTCTTCTGCTCACAAAGGATGCATTTATTTGATTAAAATTACAACAACAAAAAACAGTAATATTGTGAAATATTATTTCAATTTAAAACAGTTGTATTCTATGTGAAGAAGAACTCTTGACCTATAGCTCTCTCTCGCAAAAGTATTTCGTTACCCCGAGAAACTTTCCATCCACTCTCAAAACCTTTCGGGTTTTCACGCAAAACAAAAGTATTGGTTCTCCCCACAAAACTTTGCATTTTTTGCAAAAAAAGTCTCCCGTAGACAGTAAACTGCACTAAACTATGGCTACATCCGAAATTGCAGGCTTACCTAGTAGCTGAAAAACAGTTTATGACAATAGTAGTACGTCGAATTCACAGTACTCATAAAAGAGTAGGGGAAAATTACCCGGATGACCTACTACCAGTGAGATTCTGAAGTGTGCATAGTGCATACTATGGACACTTTACTGTCTATCGCATGAGGCCACTGGACAGAATTTGTGAATGGCGTGAGTGAAGCGACAGTAACTGACGCTGGTAAGTCACAAGATAATGACAACATGGCGAATGTAGTACGTCCACATTACATTCATACTACACACATCTATACTAGAACATACTGTTTTAGCGGTCGCAAAGTAGGCTAAGTAAGAGATTTTGGACACAGCCCATGTCATGTCTTCTGGTTGCATTAAACAAACAAACAACATTTCTCTGCATGCCAGTAGAGAACTTTAGTAGTACCGAATTTAACAGAGAGTTTATAACAATTTAATTTAAAGACAAATGCACCTTTTGGAATTCGCTCAATATGAAATCTAAATTATGTAGCAGCAAGTATTGTATTATTATGCATACAAAAATGTAAAGATCACTGTTGTATATTATGTTTGTATAGTTATATTTATGATTTTGTTATGGGAATGTAACGCATAGCTCTCAACAGGCATCCTTGATTAGAAATAGAACTCAACCTCTTGTGAAACCTCAACAATAATACCATAATTAAATACATAAAGTTTGTATTTTGGGGAAGAAATGTAGCCTGTATTATTGTGTACTACTACTTAACTGCTAAAGCTAACTACTAGTCAAACTCGAGACCTGGCCCTGGCCGTATCCGGTGTCTGTGACTTGTGTCGCGGCCCCTTTAAGGAGTTGCATAGTCGTGACGACGGTGACGTACACTGCACAGTTTGTGTGTGAGATCCTGTGATGATGTTCACCGTCCGTGTGGAAGAAATCTCCAGCAGCCCTCATCTTCATTGACGGGTATCTCTTTTCCAATGGCATGTCATCACTGTTGGCTTGAGTCGTCGTGTCGCGGGTTGTTCGGAGCGGATACCGGGATCCCGGATCCAGCACAGGGCCGGTGATGGTCGCGTTTGAAGCCGGAGAGAGCAACAGAGGAGCGGCTGAGATTTCTGCGCTCCGTCGGTGAGTCGCCACCACTTCCACTACACAACTCATCACTTTAAACTGCTTAATGCACTTCATAATCAACACTTAGCTCTTTATATTGCGTTATTTTTAAAATGTAAAGTTATTGTGAGCAGATATATAATTGTATATCGTTATAAAGTATAGGTTTATATGTGTGTGTATGTGCGTGCGTGTGTGTGTGTGTGTGTATATATATATATATATATATATATATATATATATATATATATGTGTGTGTATATACATTTAAATTTAAATCTAAAAAATAAAATAAAATTTCATTTTTAGTCAGCACTTTTATTCTATTAAAACTATTCTGTAAACGAATGTATTGCATATTTTGCATGTTGCCTATTATTGTTTGTAGTATAATAGTTATCTATAACTTAGCCTATAGTAAATAATAGGTGTGTCCAAACATACGTCTGTCTGCATATTTCTAACACAGTATCCTAATGTTCTTTGCTGCTTAACAATAACAAATTGTTTTGACATTTATAGTTTTTAATATAACTACAGCAAGACATCAACAAAGGTCACAATAGTGTGTAACAACAGACAAATTAAGTATTTAAAGTTTTTGCCTATCATGTGTTTACATCTTCTTTTGAGTCTAATGAATGTCTGTGTCATTGCATTTTTATTGGGTCTCCAGCTGATTCCCCATGTGCCAGCTCATCAGAGCACACGACACGTGGCCGTAAGATAATCAGCTTCAGTGTGTGTGGATAAACATCCTCCAGATGAGCAGCAGAAGATGGTATCAGCTGAACAACTAGGTAATGATGTGTTCTGTTACACCACAGATGACACTGAACCATCTGTGTGTCGCCGTCCCTTTCTGTCTCTGCTTGATGCATTGGTTTAATCTAACAGAAACGTACCACTATCAAGTATTTGAATGCAGTACCCTTGCAGTGTGTGTGTGTGTTATTGTGATACTTTTTATGTTAGTGCATTAAATCAATATCATCCAGAAGAGAAACACAAACAGACACACCACAAATGTGGTCTTCATTTTTAAAAATCTATATTAATGGAACTTTTTAAAAAGATGATAGATAGATAGATAGATAGATAGATAGATAGATATATAGATAGAAGGAGTGTAATGTTCAAATTACTCACGGTTTGGTTTTTATCAGTTTTAGGGTCACGGTTTTTGTACAGTTCAGTATGTGCTATGTTCAGGGAAAAACGGACTACTGTCAAATAAAAATAAAGAAAATAACAAATAAACAACAAGCAAATGAATATGATATAATATATATATATATGTAGGTAGATAGATAGACAGGCCGTCCGCATGACACTGAGTGTACAGACTATTTTATGCTGTTCGTGTGTTTCTTTATTAACTGCATAAAGCATCAGGCTGCTGTTTTTAAAGCAGGCCTTTTTAAATGCATGAACTAGATCCATTTTAATTAGGCCATTAATAAAACATTTTGTGTGTATAAATATATTATATGTATGTGTATTTAGGTATTGCTGGGTAGTAACTGGTTACATGTAATCTGGATTATGTAATCAGATTCCAAAAGATTCCAAAGTAATTGTAATTAAATTATATTACGTTTTAAAATACTCATAAACAGACTACAGTTACTTTTTTATTGATTACATGATTACTTGATATTCACAAAATGGCAGTAAATAATTTTTATCTTTTAAATTAAGTTCTGAAAAAACCTATTGCTTGTATACGTAGAGAAATACGTTCCAGTTTTGTGGAATTACACACACAGAAAGGCCACTAGTTAGGTGACTTTAACTACTTGGGAAATCGAGAGGCCACACAGCATAAACAAATACAATATTTTATCTTTTTGTTAGTGTTTTATTTGAACAAAATCACATTTAAAATGATTAAGATTGAATTAGTTAATAGCTTTTCATCAATTTATGAACCCCTGCAGTTCCTTCCCAAAACCTAATGTTTAATCAACCTTAATGTTGTTGATAACAAAATAATCTTTTTTTTCTTTCTCTTAAAAAAAGTAGTCCGATTACATTACCTAAAATGTTACATACAAACTACAATTTTTATCATGTAATTTGTATTCAGTAATAGATTACAATTTGTAAATAATCTACACAGCACTGTATGTATGTATAAATGTTTGTTTGATACCATTTCCATGTCTACTTTATTATTTTCCTGTACAGTGAGCTTGGGAAAGGCACTTTATAAATAAAACTTAAAACATAAGATCTTACCCGTGCGTTTGATAAGTCTGTGGTTGTATTAAATATGATCCTGAGCAGACATGGAGGTGATGACTCCTCTGATGGAGGAAGCAGAAGGTGAGGAAGAGGATGTAGACGTCGATGAAGATTCAGAGCATCTGCCGCGAGGAATCACGTGAGTCACAGCCAGGATTTCTTTTGTAGTTTTGACACTCATCAGGCGTTTGTTTTGCAAACAGTAATTTTGTCTGTAACAAAAAATGTGTGTATGTGTGTGTGTATATATAAACAGCATACTCTCGTATTACATAATGTATGTTTTCTCTATTCTTCAGGTTTACTCAAACCCTGCTGCATCTGTTAAAGGGGAACATCGGCACAGGGTTGCTTGGGCTTCCTCTGGCAGTGAAGAATGCTGGGATAGTGGTACGTGGCATCTCCGCTTCTTCTGTGAACATTAAACCCGGTCTTGATCAGTTTCTGTTACATACAGACCATTTCTTTGCTTCTTCTCAAACCGAGCCTGAATCCGAATCTTGAATCTGAAGCTTCAGACTGCTAGTAAAAACCAGATCATTGGAAGTACGCCAGGAAAACTGACTTGCAGACTGTAAAAACATGAAATGCTTTAGGGGAGCATTTAAATGCATTTGTTGTTGCCAAAAGACAATACAATTGCGGCTTTATTGCCCCTGTAATTAGATTTGTTTGTTTTCACCATCATATCCTGATCTCCGGATACTGTTTAATGGGTGGACGGGTTAAAAAACTAGTCAGACTGGTTTACAAACTAAACTGTGTGACTGTACTGTGTGCTGACTGCCACATTGGTTTGTAAGAATGTCAGTCCACACATTTTATTGCTGCCATAAAGCTTTTGTACAGTATGTAGACAAAGTTCATGTTGAGAGAGAACGTTAGCGATAAGGCTTTATTGCTCTGGAAGACATTACATTTGGTCACTAATAACAGATATTATCTTTTAAAACGGTTGATGTGTTTTAAAAGTGTCTGAAACGCATTAGACTGAACATGGTTCTCTGTTTTTCCTCAAGCTCGGTCCGGTTAGTCTGGTACTGATGGGTGTGGTGTGTCTTCACTGCATGCAGATCCTGGTCAACTGCAGCCATCAGCTCAGTGAGCGGTAAGAATCCACCAATCACAGCCCACCGCTTCAGTCTCCACAGCCAATCACATTTCAGCTCACTTTTTTTTTTTAAATGAACACTCAGTCCTGGCATGATTTAAGGTGTAGGTCATGGGTTCCTAAACTGGCGTACGGAAAAGGTCATTTTAAGTGATGTTCATTTTAAGCCGTATTGTCAGTATTTTTTGCAACGAAATTATTTCGTGAACGAAGCTGTGGCGTTGAACGAATCGGGAGAGTCAATGATTCAAGGAATTCATAAATACAGCCACTTGGTTCGTTACTGAATGAAATAATCATTCATTAAGCCCCCCACCTACTGGTGGTTTAAGTTTAATTTTTAAAAGTATCACTTTGTGTTTTTACTATCATAAAAGAACACTTTTTTTTTTCAAACATTATCTCATAACATTATTTACGCCATTGTAATTACATTAATGCCACCTCTGAGCAGCATTAAACAGTGTGTAAATACATCTAGATGCAGCTTGTGCCACTGCAGTGCAAAGATGGCTTTTTGATACTGATTTCATTTGATTGAAATTTTGTTTAATTTATGGTTTTATTTATTATATTAATAATTAAATTAACGGAATTAAGAATTTGACATAAAACATGACAAATATAAGGCAGCTGCTATTTGCAAATGTCTAAATATCAACAACACTGAACAAAATTATAAACGCAACACTTTTGTTTTTGAAATGAAATGAACATTCAATTCACGGGCAACAGCTCTGGTGGACATTCCTGCAGTCCGCATGCCAATTGCACGCTCCCTTAAAACTTGCGACATCTGTGGCATTGTGCTGTGATAAAACTGTAGATTTTAGAGTGGCCTTTTATTGTGGCCAGCCTAAGGCACACCTGTGCAATAATCATGCTGTCTAATCAGCATCTTGATATGCCACACCTGTGAGGTGGATGGATTATCTCGGCAAAGGAGAATTGCTCACTAACAGATTTAGACAGATTTGTGAACAATATTTGAGAGAAATAGGCCTTATGTGTACATAGAAAAAGTCTTAGATCTTTGAGTTCAGCTCATGAAAAATGGGGGCAAAAACAAAAACATTGCGTTTATAATTTTGTTCAGTGTAGATTCTATTTACACTAAGTGACAATAGCATATTGTCTTAGAATCCATCACTATTCACACTATGTAAAAATAGCAGTATTTTCTTTGCGATAAGTGTAAAAAGTAGTTTTGTGGCACATACTATTGGTACCTCAGTGTTGTTGTACATTAAACGGTATGCAATAATAACATAGCATGTAAATAATTATGTTTATTAAAAGTATTAAATGGATGCCGCCTTATTGGGACAATAAAGCTCTCCTTACATCTACTCCTACCCCTAACCGATAAACACACCTTAGACCCTTTATTTCCACTTTTAGAATATTTTCTTCATTTTTATTGAAATTAAAGGCCTTTCCGATCTGATATGCAATGGGAAAAAAGGGAGTAGAGTGAGTTCTGCAAAAAGGCAGATTCAAACTCTGGGTCGTTTTGCGCCTCAACTCTCTGCCATGCGCCTTACCCCTACACTATTGCTACTGTTGACAATCCAGCGTCTTCTGTAATTTTGTCTGGCACAAGACATGGAGCAGATAAATCTCCAAACAAACGCCGAATAGAGGAGAGTCTGCTGACAAAAAGAGAACGAGACAGAGCTCGTAATAAAACAAGAATCAACATTAGCTTTTCAGAGATGGAGAGAACTGAGGGATTTGAAATGTAAAAGAGATGGTGTTTTTATTGCTGAACGGGTGAGTTTTATTGAACAGATAAATTGCCATATGTAGCTCTCTAACAAAGTTAACTGTAAAGCATTATCTATTGTGAAGTGTTATTTCATTATGGTTGTATCGCTGTGCTGGAATTTATATTCAAGGAAGTACCGTGTCTATTAATGGGTAAAGCTACAGTAACGTCTTCAGCTAGTCAGCTTGAGATCCTAAACTGGTTATAGCTCTTTAGCCTAGGTAGGATAATCTCTCTCTCCCTTTTGTTATGAGAAAAGAAGAACCATATGCAAAATGCATAGTTTTTTTTTTTTAGTTACATAGTGTACCTTTAATGTGACAGATGACAAAATGGCAGCATGTGCTTATAATAAACAAAACAATATTGTACGTTGTGTGGATGCTAATAGTATTGTTATGGTGTAATTATACTTATAGATATCGTTTTTGATGTAAATGGGTCTTTTCTTCCTGTCATTCTTTATTTAACCAGGTTAATAGACAACAATAACCCCCGAAATACTAATTTCACACATAGCAGGTGTTCATCTAAGACTTTAGGTAAAGCATCGCTCATTTCAGGTGACCAAAGGAAACTTTTAGATGATTGTGGCTGGAGCACATGTGAGATATGTCCCCCTTTTCTTTGAAATCATTCTGAAATTCGAAACGGATGTTTGATACTGGTGGTGATGGAAAACCAAAGCTCACTTCCCATCAACAAAGCAAGCGTGCGTGCAGTGAGATTTTGACAGCGGCACTCTCGATTAAAGTGATTCCCATGATCACGTGTGGCATTTGAAATATTCCCCAATGGAAGGGGCGACCTAAAAACCAATCTCATTTGGTATTCATATAAACGTGAGAGGCTTGGGTTGTTTGTAAATTTAGAAGTGTGCATACATTTAAAGCGTGCATATTCTGAATGTAGCAGCTGCTAGCGTATGGACTGTCTGAATATCAGTCGGTGTGTTCACACTTTAATAAACGCAACTTCTTCCATGCATTCCAGCTTTAAACGCATTCAAAGGGCTCTCCCTCGGGTCTGAGTACAGGAAGCGGCAGAATACTGCATCAGTCACATGTGGGCTGGGTGCTTTTTACAAAGTGTGCCAGTATTACAGTTCAACTTCAGCTTCATCGATGTGCTGCAGTGTGTATATACGGTACACACATATGCAAAGTATATGGGCCATTCTACAGAATTGGTGCAAACCGCTGTCTGACAACCAAAAAACACATTTAAAAAGCATTTAAGTATTCAAATTTTAGATGTTTACTAAGATCCTTCTATTATCTACTGAATCCCACAATAATATTTAAAATATAAGTAAGCTTAATATATATAAAATCATAATTTATTGGGTTCTTTCAATCGGGAGTTGGCTGTCCCGAACCCTAACTCCTAAATTTCAACTGTGAAAATATTGAAATATTTTTCCCAATGTTGTTTTTAAAAATATCTTTTTGATTTCTTTTAAAAAGTTAAGTAAAAATTAAATCTCAAATAAATGTTTTATTTTAAATCATGAAACTTTATGTAAAAAACATGTCCCGCATTTTCATGTCACTACCAAAACAGTGTGTTTTAGTCAATTGGCTGAGACTTTTAACCACACCCCTACATTTTTGATCAGGAAATATTCCTGTGTGCCTCTCTCTCATGGCCTCTCTTTCATTATAGATAGGTACCATCATTTTGAGGGAAATGTGTTCAACAGTCTAAAAATCTGTGTGTAACTTTAAGGGACGTCACTACCAAACAGCTTTTTTTTGCAATTAAGCAAACTTTTTGGGGTGTAATTCCATAAAATGTAGTTTTTGTGTGTGTACAACTGTTCAGAACTGTGCTAGGTAACCATGTGCTGGCTGTCATCTTTGATCTAGGCTCAAAAGTATCTTAAAATTGTCACTACCGAAACATGTGGTGAAGTTTCGGTTGTGATCGTGTTTTTTTTTTAGTGTTATTCGATAAAATTTAATTTTTGTGTGTAGATCTGTTCAGAACTGTGCTAGTTAACCATGTGCTGATTAGCATCTTTGATCTAGGCTCAAACGTATCTTAAATTGTCACTTCCGAAACAGTCATGACCGAAACGTCATTATTGTTTTGGTCATTACTGTCACTACAGAAAATGTGCCGTCACGACCGAAACATGGATGTTTTGTCTAAAATAAAGTATACTGTAGGGCTGCCCGATTATGGCCAAAATGATAATCACGATTATTTTGATCAATATTGAGATCACGATTAATCATCACGATTATTTGTTGATTTTAACCAAAACAAATGTTATTGTCACATAGGCTAATTATAACTGCTTTCACATCCATATTGTGCTACATTTCTGCTAATGTACAAATATGTGCATCAAAATAAAACAGGTCCTCTTATTCACCAAAATTCAGTGCATCTCCTTAAAGAACAAATAAAAATAAAGAAAATGTAGCAAAACTTCAACAGGGCACTATTTTCCAGTTTACACTTGTGTAAATATATTTTAGAAAGCAAAATATAAACTTGCATTGTACCTGCATAATGGATGTGAATACAACTCAAAATATACAATCAATAAAAAACTAATTTTCCGTAACAGAATGTAACCAAATGAGAACATTTCAAGGCAGAACTATGCAGAAAAGACTAGTTTACAGGTTTTTGGATAGAAACACTAGCCTGTCAACATTTTCTGGCTTGAGGGATGAGCGGTGGCAGGTCACTACATTCCCCCCTGTGCTGAACACCCTCTCAGAGGGACAACTTGTAGCCGGGATGCATAGGTATTTCGGCAGTTTTGAGAGACGTGGGATGAGTCTCTGATGTTCCCTCCACCAGTCTAGGTTACCTGATTGTAGGTACGACTGTAGCTCAGAAGATATAGCTTGTTGTTCATGAGAGGACCGAGTCTGTGTGGCTCCCTCAGCAGTCTTGAAGAAACTCCCCAAGGTCTTTTTCTTTTTTATAGTGGCTGCATCCTCAGCAGTCTCACCATGGGGATCAGTTGGGCTCATCTCATTGAAGAGTGTAGTAAATGAGATGCGAATAATGAATAGCCCTAATAATCTAAACCTATTCAACACTCATTTCCAGAGAGTACATTACACTAATGATTTTAAGTGGATTAAAATATGAAATCCAGTGATTTATTATCCATTCTGTGTATCTAACATCAATATAATGACTTACAGCCATGGCTGCAGGTGCAGTCCTCTCCATCTCAGAAGTCAGTCTGGCATGAATCGGTGCA